TCCAAACATATCCTGAAATTGAGAATTTTGAAACAAGATAAAGGTTTAAGTCTCTACCAGGTGAAATCATGCATTGTCCTGATTTTATGAAATGAGGTTATTCTGTAGAGTCTAGTTTATTGCTTATATTTGTTTATTGATGTTAATATCTCCTTTGTAAGCATGGATTTGATGGTTTGATGATGTTGAATGTGATGAGGATACTTAAGTAGTTTGAGGGTCTCATATTTTTTTCTAGCAGTTCTTGAAACTAACAGTTGAAAGTCTAAAAAGATACTCTGTAAGTCAAAAGTGATACTCATGATCTCAAAGGAAAGTTATTTAGAAAACTTGAAGGAAATATTCACAAAAGTGATCATGTTCCAGATTGTCAATAAGGAAATAAGTCTTTAATAAGCTGTTATTTTAACTGTGAACTACTTTTCCAAGTTCAAAAATAGCCAGTATGCAATTTGTGATAGCTCTGGCAGAGGGAATTAAAATAATTTAGAATTTACTATACTATTATTTGATTTGCCAAAGTGTGTCCAGGAAAGAAGAGACATTTCCTAAGGATCTGTCATGTGTTTAATTCTTCAGTCAAGGTGGCGGTATATACTAAACTATATTTAAGAAGTTAATTTGAGATCTTACATTACATTCTAGTGAATCATTTTTGGATTTTATATGAGAACTCAGCTCCTTGGTCCTTGTCATTTTGTGGTTTGTTTTGCAAGGTCTAGAGGTTTAAAACTAATAACACCATGAAAAATTCTCCATGAGTCATTCTGTCAGCTGTAGTTTCTGCTTTAGAGCCTTTCTGATATAATTAATTTTTATTGCCAGCTCTGCTAACAGGTTTTCATCCTTTTGATCTCCGTGCTTACAAAAAAATTCAGTGGTAGTGTTCAGACCCTTTTTGGGGACTAGTTCCTTAATTTTTAGTTCTTTTAGTGGCTCTAAGCTAGATCATTTATAAATTGTAGATGGTAAAAGGATTTATGACTGGTTGTTTTTTGGAGGGAGGAGAATGGTAGTGGTCATTTACTACCTTTGGTCCTATGAATCTTACTGTCCAGAGATCTGAAGATTGAATTAACAGTTTAGCTGAAGTCAGCACAATGTTCTAAATCCCTATACTTAAGGGTGCTTATGTATCACAGACAAATGCCTTTTTAGCTGTTTTGTTTTTTTGTGAAAAATGATATAGTACTAGAGCTATATACTGGAGTAATTTCAGTTTCGTGTTATGCTTCAGACTTTGAATTATTTTGAATTATTTTGTAGAAATAGATAAATGAAAAAAAACCTTGATTATCTACAGGTTATCAAGATTAATACCTAATATCTCCCAGATTAATGCTTTAATCATTCTTGGTATTTCTAAGGAGATGAGGAAACAGTGGATTTTTTTGCTAAGTAGCAGGTATTGTCAACACAATTTTACTAGGTTAAAAAAAAGATCACTGATCCTTCTTGCCGGGGAAGTTAAAAGTTTTGATTGTAACCTGATGATTTTTCTACAGATGCCCTGTAGCATCTGGGAAGTTTGTTAACTTGAGTATCTATGTTAATTTTATTATATATTACAACTTGGTGAGTTAAATCTATGGTTTTGTCCCTTGCTTTGAATTAGGCATTTCTGTGGATTTTACTGAGCTAAAGACCTATTTGAATATTGTTAGTATTTCTTTTTCTTTTCTATTTAATGTCATGTTACACCTCTGAAGTTCAGATTTTATTTTTGTTCTTCCTAATAGCTAATAACAATTAAGTGGTTACTGTGTGCTGAGCAATGCTTCCCATTTTCTAATTCAGTCATCAAAACAAATTTGTGAGGCAGGTACTAGTATCATCACTATTTTACATATGATGCTTAGAGAGGTTAAGCAGCTTGCCCAAGTTCAAGCACTTCCAAACTGTGCAAGTACAATATGACCCTAGTTACGTTTTTTCTTAGGAGTTTATGCCTCAAGGCCTTGAGCTCACACATAATTTTCATTGACTGTAACAATATTGGAATAGAATAATTTTTACACTGATGTTTATCATCATTTTATGAGGGTTAAGCCTCAAAATTGTCCTAATTGTTATCTATTTTACAGTTATTTGTCTAATGACTTTTCACTGGAGTGGCTTCCATTAAAATAGTGCTGTATTTCATTAATTCCAGAGTGCACAGGGTTTCCCCCCTGCATTTTAACATTGCTAAAATCAGGATGTATCTTACAATGGAATTATTTAAAATTCTAAACTTAGTAGCTAACACTATTTGCTAATGAAAGCTTGACCAGTATCCAACATAGGCAAAATTTACTTAACTTCCTCCCCTTCATTTCAGTCATCCCTTATTAGGAACCATCTAGACTCCCAAATTCCTCATCATAACTAAACCCAAGGAAAAATTATCTAACGCTTTGGAGGACACAAAGGGTAGGAATTAATGTTTGAATGTGATAAAAAAAAAAAAGGCTAGCTGTTTCCTCAGCAAAATCAGTAAAAGAAAAATGTGATTTCTAGTAGGCTATTTATTATAAGTAAATATGTGATCACACAAAACTTGGACAGTCCTTTGCAAATTTTTTATCCAGAAGAAATAATGTTTAACAGTCTTAAAGGGATATCCCAACTACAAAATTTTTTATGTGTAGAGATACTGTAGAGTAGTTAAACATAGCTGAAAATGTAAGTTTTACTCCAGGATGTGTTATTTATCGGGTTAGGGCTACTTAATTACCAAATCATATCTGTGCTGTAAAATAACATATTGGGGAGGCCTCTATATATTGCTACCTAGGGCTTTAATATTAGAACTCAGAACTAACAAGGCGAGGACATCCTGAGTAGAATTTGTAAGTGTATTGTGACCCCTAAGGCCTTTGGTTAGGATTTCTGGCATGTAAGTTATGCTTAGTAAAGCTAATCAAAAGTAAGGACATGTAGTCACCTTTCCCCAATGGCTCCAATTCCTGGTAACCCATTTATTATGGTTCTTTATTGGTGCTTTGATTTTGTCTTATATCTAGAAAAATACATACACACATATATAAATATGCACAAACATGTTCATTGTTGGCTAACTGTCCAACCAAGTCATCAGTATGATATTTTCAAAAGCCAGATACAGCTAGGTCAAACACATCTAACATTATGTCAGTGTTCAGATAGAGCTGTTCTTCAGAAATACCTAACCAAAGGAGATTGTCATGATTTTATGATTGGACTGTATAAGGGACAGGGGCTGGAAAATACAGGATTTTCTATACCAGAATTGTTATCAGTCTGATGTTGGGCTAAGCGTGGAAAATAGTAATTGGAGAAAAAGCATTGTGATTTAAACATTTTGTTTCAGAAAGGTTTTTTTTGTACTTTATGAATGTGGCGACAAGATTATACGAAGTTATGCTGTAGGGTGGTCCTTGTTCTTCATCTTTTCATTCCATTTTGTCCTCTATTTCCCCTCCTTTTCTATTCTCTTGAGAGAGAAAATAGCTCAGGAAGCTGGCTTGCAATCAGTAGTGTGGAAGTTTCCAGGATTCTTTACCAGCATCTCCCTGGGCTCTCCCTGATGCAAGCAGTATTGTCTGGTATAGGTATTTTGGTGAAGTCCATCAGGCAGGGAGGGTAGCCGAGGTTGCTAACTGCAGATATTATCTTCTGCAGAAACTTAGTTGGGAATTCTCTTCTTGTCAACTTTTATATTCATCTGTAAATTAAAAAACATTCCCATTCCACTAGCCTCCCCTGCCAAAAAAGAAGTCAGGATGGACTACTTAGGAACTCTTACTTCTGAAGATTTGGTAATGTTTGGTAATCAGTATATTGTCTAGGGCAGTGTCCTCCTATCCCGGAACCCCTTTTCTTTGCTGTTCTTAACCTTGTTATGAGGTAACATGTTGTCACTTATCAGGGAAGTTGTTTGATACTTTGTCTTTTTCTTTGGATTAATTTTGATTCATAGAGGGCTTAAAGGGAACTGTAATTAAACTTGTACTTTAGAGGTTTTTTTAAACTAAACTACCTCCATGCCAAGTACAATAGTCATTCAAGTATCATTGTTGTATATTTATTTATATCCTTACTAGTAACCTTTTTTTAAAAACCCAGTTTTACTGATATTCTTAATAATCCCTATTCTTATTACATAGATTAAATAATCATTATATAAGATGCCATAGGTTGAGATAATTTCTAAAAAGGACAGAAATGAAAAGAGAAATGGGAGGAAATTTGAAAAGACTCCTTAAGACTTAGGTTAACATTTATGCATAACAGCAAATTCTTACCAAGAAGCCTCCAGTAATATTTCTTTAAAAAAAAAAAACTACTGGGAGGAAATGCTGTGGCTCTTACAGCATACAGAACTGAAAGAAAAAAAAAGTACCCTTTGTTTTCTACTTCTGGAACATATTTTTAGTAACTGGTAGTACTCCAATGGTAATTTTTTCTAGATTTGTGTTATTAAATCTAAACACAAATAATTGAAGATCAATGATTTGATCATGATCAAAGATGAGACACATCAGTATAGCATTAATCACCCAGATATTTTGGGGGGAAGAGAGACGTGATGGTCAGGAAGCAACTTTCCTTGCTAGGAAACTTAATATATAATACTTTAAGAATGAAATATTTCTCTCTGCCTCAATTTAAAAAAAATCTGTGAAATGGAAATAATATCTTCATAGTTATATTTTAGGATTAAATGAGATAATACATGCAAACAGTTAAGAATAGTGCTTAGCATCTAGTAAGCCCCTCAATAAATTTAACTGTTGCTCCTCTTGTTTGGGTTTTTTAAAAAGAGAGCCCATACTCAGGGATGGCTGATGGTAAAAAACACCTGCAATTTAAGATTTAGCAACATAGTTAAGATTCTCTTACTTACTCCACCTATTTGTTGAATTTTGCTTTAGGAAAGTGGGGTAGGATTTAAATCCCTTATTCTGGTTTAGTTGAATGAATACATCTAGTAACAAGTGAAATAACCACATCTATTTTTTTTTCCCTTTTTGTTTCAGGTTTCCCCTCAAAAAACCTATAAGGTAAGTTGTTCAGTTGCAACTTACATGTTTAGCTAAAATTTTAATTAGAAGCATTCCTTTGAAATTATGGTGGATTTTTATGGTTTGTGAAAATGTGGATTTTAGGTAGTTTAAAATTTCAAAATGTTTTACAAATTTAAAATGTAACGGGTTGCATTTTTCTCTGGAAGATGATATTGTTTTGATAACATTTTCAGTGTTTTTATTACAAACATTTAAAAAGTTTGTTTAAATTGATACTTAAGGTCACTCCCTATGAAGAGATTTAATTTTAAAATCTATTGTAACTGTTTTCAGTTGTGAGGAGCTTGGGGAGTGTAAATGGATTGCCAGTTTTTGATGTGTTTTATCACTAGGGTAACTATAACTGCCTTTAGTTAATGAACTTTGGCAAACTAGATCACTCTTGATTATTTTAAAATGGTAAAGGAAAAAGATTCAAAATGTTCAAATATTGTCTATGCCTATATCCATATCGCCATGTTTACTCATTTCTCGGGATTAAATGCCTTTTCCTCAGTACTGGTTCTTGAACATCTCTCTCTCATCTTAATTGTCATAAGTATTATTTAAAATGTAGGTTATGTTTCATTTCTTATTATTCTAATACTTGTATCATTTTTATTGAAAGTGTAGGCAAATGCTAATTTTGGCATTTCATTTAATTAGAGGTGTATGCATTATAGTTATGGTCTTACTTACTGCCCAGCCCTTTTCTAATCATTTTAATTCGGTAAGCTCTAAGGAAAATAATAATTCTAATGTCACCTGGTCCTGGCTAAAATGTCTATGGCTAAAATTATAGGCAGGCTTTAAGTGAGACTTGCCTAAGATTTTTTTTTTTATCTATGCTCTGTTTACACAGTGATTTTGAACTTGATGATAGTATATATAGGATTGGGGAATCTGTTTAATTACTTTTAGGTACTGTTTTCTTATCTGTTAAATGGAAATAATAGTAACCTATAAAAACCGTGAAAAGAATTTAAACAATTATTTTTAAGAATAAAATAAACTTTAATACTAAATACTACTTTGATTATTTTTAAGCACTTTTTGTAACTAAGTAAATAGACTCTTTTTTGCACATAGCATAGACTGAATTTTAAAAGTTTTTGAAAAACAAAGAGAGTTTGTGAGACTGTGTAAAGTAAGCTGATTTCTTGGTTTCTTTTTGTAAGACACACTTGGGATTTCTAAGTTAAGTTTTTATTCTAGTGACTTGCATGTAGTAATATTTGATTGCTTTGATTTAATTTAGGCATGGAAGTATTTTGAACCGAGAGTCACCAACAGATAAGAAGCAGAAAGTTGAGCGCAGTGCATCACATGATTTTGATCCCACAGGTAAAATACTGTTCTCCCAAAGAATATTGAGAGTAGTGAAGTTCAGAGTAATATAGCTTAGGCTACATACCTACTGGAAACACCCAGGAATAGCTATTTGATCTGTTTAGGACTCTTCAGTGATGTAACATAAAACCTTTGCATTTGAGCAATGCAAGCATATTTAACATTCAACACTATGGATTCCACTATGGAAGCATAATTGTAGAGTGTATTAGATTTTAAAATGATAATACAGCTGATTGTTATGTCATAATTGGAGGTTTTGGTCAAACCAATGACTTAGTACTGAGATAAATCATAAGTATAAACAGTGGTCTCATAAAATCAAGGCCATAGCAATCACAGATTTTTGTAGTCATTTAAAACTTAAGGCGTGATCATGGTAAATTGGAGTATTGGATGAAATACAGTTTCAAAAATTAATGATCATCTCATCTGAGAGTAAGCAAATGAATAGAGATCCCTTTTTCTTCAGTTAAAACATATTCTGAACTCAGAGTCTTTCAACCTCAGTAGTGTTGACCTTTCCTGGAGTTTTCACGTTAAGTAGACTTTTGACTATTTATATCCTTAATTTTACATGTTTTTATTGAATTCTTTTGTAAAACAGGCTTTAATTATTCCTTGTAAACTCACTCAGTACTTGATTCATAATAATTACTTGATAATTTTGCTTTTGTCATTTGAAACTGATATGTGTCTACTTGTGCATATACTGGTTCCTCTGTCAAAGATAAAGTTAGTAAATGCTAAGGTCTCAGATATGTAAATATAATGTATCTATTTTTTAGACATTTTCATTTAAGTATAAAAATTTTAATTTTTAATAGTTTTTTTGTATATATTTAAGATGCTTCATACTTTTAGTATAAACCACTCTTTTATTTTGAAAAAATACTATAAATATTATCTAGGAAGGAAAGACTAGGAAGTTGGATAGCTAATAATTTGCCTGCATCTTGGGTAGTAGATAAAAATGAAATCCTAGTCATCAGTTTAGGAGGTTCTGGTGGGAGTGTGTAATACGTACATCTGGATCTCTGTGAAAAGATACCTGTATTTCAGACACCTGACTTTGACATGGGGCTCAGAAGTTTTCATTTATATTATGATTTGTTATTGTTTTACTGATGAGGGTCACAGGTTTCTGTCCTATGTTCATAAAAGCAGTATAATCTTGTTAGGTTGACTTACCCTGTGTTGTTCATCTGTAATGTCCCATCTCCAAAGACAGACAGAGCAAAATGATATGCAGTGTTTTCTAATGCAATTATTACAGCTTTCAGTTGTCATCTTTACAGTTGTCAGATGATATATTTTGTAGACTATTCATGTGTTGTTTTGTTTGAACATATTTTTATTGTGCTGTCTTTTCTTCAAAAAAAAAAAATCTTCAATATATGTCATTACCTGTGCTGTTCGTGACTATTCTAAGTGCTGTCACCTGTGATATTCAAACTGTGTTTGCACGATTTAACTTGATGATGATTCATTCTTTTTTCCCCCCATGAATTTTTCCCCTTACATTGGTCTCCATATTTTCTATATCTCTCTCCTTTTCTCCCGCTCTTGTGCAGATAGCTCCTCCAAGAAGACAAAGTCTAGTTCAGAGGAGAGTAGATCCGAGATATATGGTAAGCTGATGGAGCCAATTCAGCCTTGCACCCTGGGAGCTTGCTTCATGCTGTTTCTTTCTTTCTTTTTTGTTTTTCCTTAATAACTGCAGCCTTCCTTGTGTCTGCTCTGCATGGCATGATCTGCTGCAGGGAAAGGGAGCCTGGGTTTTAATGTGGCTGTTATGTGGAAACCTAAGGTTGCTAGAAACTAACATTGTAGAGTAAGAATAGGCCGCGTTACCACCTTCTCTTTGATCTGGTTTACGTTAGGAAAGTGATTATCTCTAATATGTGTGGATCAGGTTCCTCGAAATAACATGGATGGGCTTTGAGGTCTTGGCATCTTCTTTCCATGTCCTCTTTGCAGTTCGGATCATGTAGAATTTTATGCCACCTGCCTTTTCCTCTAAGTATAGTAGTGGTGTGATTTAGATGTGTTACCAGTTCTTTGGAATTTTTATTTCACTTTTTAATTGCCTCATTATCTGGAAATGCTGAGCTTGTATAATCTAACCACAAGAGCACAAATTCCTCAAGTATTTTACTTTTGTAGCTTGAAGGATTCGTCTACATCTTTTATAAGTTTTCCTGAAGCTTATTCTGAACGGGAACATTTCAAAATGGCACCTTTTAAATATTTAACCTCAATGTTCAATTTTTGCAACAGATTATCGAAACACTAATATTTCCAGAATGTGCCCTGTCTTCCAAAGATAAAATAAATCATGTTTGTGAAGTTCATACATATTTTTCCTTTTCCTTTGCATAGTTTTACCTGCTCTATTTCCTTGTTTTGGTAGCTAATTAGTTTTTTGAGAAAAGTGAATAGTAGAAGCACATCTCCTAGAACCAAGACTTTTAAAATAATCTCTGAAAGATTAATAAATTACTTCTTTTTAAGAAGATTCCAAATTTGGCCTCAAAGGAAAACCAGGTCTTCTCCAATAGAACCAAAAGTCTATCAAGTGGAAGTCTGCCCAGGTGCAGTTGTTGCCTAGTTTGAGATACATGAAAGGCAAAGAAACTAGGAAAAATGCCCCTCCCTCCCTTTTAAGACACTATAATTTATATCTCCTGAGACTTGAACCCATAATATCAGATACTTTTGTACATTATGAAGACTCAGTGTTTGTTTATAAACCAGTTAATGCCTCTGTGTAAGATAGACACACATAGTTCTTTGCATGGGTGTTTGTGACCAATGCTTTTTCCATATAGTTACACCTTTTATAGTGTTTCAACAGGAAATGTATATTATGCTGTATGGTATGTCAAATTTATGCTTTTCCTTCCCTCCAAAGTATTTGACGACACATAAGTAATAAATAGCTTCTGAATTTCTCAAGACTCTGTCTTCTGTTCTGTACAGAGAGCTCTCTTTGGTTTAGTGTTTCCTTAGGAATGTGAATACTTTCTTCATGGCTCCATTCTTTTCCAGTAGCCACTGCAGTGTAGTACTTCATCTCCCCACCATTCTCCTAGATCTGTGTTATGTTTGCAAAAACTTATTCTTTGCTTTGGGTGATCAGATGATTAGGTATGTGTGCAAAGACTTGCTATTTGATTTGGGTGTTAATATTCCAGTGACAGGAATATTAACACTAGTTCAGACATGCCATTGGCTTGCTAGCAATAAAAACATTTTAAGTGGTAATGGGGAAGGAAGGTGTGGCTTCTTTGTGTGTTTGTTTCTTGAGAACCCTTGAAATGCCTTTTTTAGAAGGAACTACTCCATGAGTCCTCAAAAAGCACTTAAGGGATGAGTTGATCAGAACAGAGTTAGCACGCTAACTTAAATCTCTTTGACATTACAAATATTTTATCACCTGTGTGAATAGACTTTTCAGACTTTGTGCAGTTAGTGTGTCTAGAGTCAAAGAAAGCTAGGAAATACTGGTGACATTACTGTATTAACAAATCCACTTCTAACTTTTGAGATTATACATTGTCTTTTCTTGGGGTAAAGTTAATTAGTGGGATACTCAAAACAAATGCTAGTTATTCACTGACAAATTATTTGTATTAAGCTCTCAGCCATTTTTAGAGATATTTTGTGAGATAGATTTACTTTGCTCATTTTAAAAGGAAACCAAGTGTTTGTTTTATATTCATTTCTTAAGTTTCTGCCTGGTGCCATAGGTCAGTGTTTATTCCATTTCTCCTTATTTTTCCCTCTGTGCCTTTTGATCATGTTCAGATCTATTTTCTGATTTGCAGTTTTAGAGATACTTACTTTTCTGTTTTTCTCATAATGTAATGGGGAAATGTTGTGGGGTTTTATGGGCTATGAGAGATTTAGTAAGGGAATTTGACTTAGACTGTGTAGCTTCTTCCTAATTTCTGTCTTGATTTCTTGAAGAGATTCCAGCTGGTTGTATTTTGTACCAGAAAATAAGCCATATCTTTTGAAGCTTTCTTACTCTGCCAGGGCTGGTTATAACAAAATACCAGAGACTTGGTTTAACCCACAGAGATTTATTTTTCTGAGTCTGAAAGTCTGAGATCAGGGTGCCAGCATGGCTGGGTTCTGGTGGGAGCTCTTCTGGCTTGCAGATGGCCACCTTCTTGTTTTGTCCTCATTGGGCCCTTCCCTGGTACAGCCACGTGGTGGTGGGTGGGGATGGAGGGGGCGTGAAGGCAGGGTGGGGGTGGGCGGGTGACAAGGCCTCTGGTGTCTTTTCTTATAAGGCTACTAATCTCCTTCTGGGGCCCCACCCATGTGACCTCATCTAACCCTAATCAGCTCCCAAAGTCCTCACCTCCAGTACTATCACTTTAGGGGTTAGGGCTCACCAAATGAATTTTGGTGGCCGGGGAGGGGTTGGGGCACAAACATCAGTAAATAACAGAAGCAAACTGTTTGTATTTGAAATATCCTGGTTTGGATACAGCAGAGTGGTATTTTTTTAAAAATCCTATCTTGCTCATATTCAGGTTCTCATATCTATAAAAAAGAAAAGTTTTTGTTTCATTTTTATTCCCATAATTAATTCTGCTTTCTTCTTCAGTCTTGGAAAGGGCATTCTACAACATGAACCTTCTGTGTCCTCATAAATCATTCACTCTTGAAATCTGACTTCTGAACACTTACTATCTGGAAGGTGAATCAAAATATCCTACTTGACAAATCTGTGAACTTTCAGTTGTCACCTTCCCTCTGAGCCATTGGCAATACTGATGTCCTCTCTTTGGTTTCTATAATAATGCATTAACCTGTTTTTTTATCCTTGTAATTGTTTTCTCTTTTCTTCACTTGATTGCTCTGCCCTTCTTACAAATAGGCGTGACCCACGTTTCTGTCCCTGGTCTGTCTCCCTATTTTCCAGTCCTACAGTTTTCACGGTGCGATGCTTTCACTCTGACTATCCTTCAAATTCCCAGTGACCAATCTGAAAATCAGCATTGTTCCCTATGGCTAGAAAATCTTCCCCTTGATTTCCTCGACTCTTTAAACGGCGCTGTCATTCCATTCCCCTGGTCTTATTAATTACCTTTGACTTCTCCCTTTCCCTTGTCCTTTGTAGTCGACTACTTGCCAGGTCGCATTGATGCCACATCCCATTGTTTTTCATTCCTCGCTTGTTGGTTCCGTCCCCACTGCTTTGTTCAGCTGTTCATCATGTTAAAGGACTATTTTAATAGACTCGCAGCTGTCTTTCACTTCTGTTTCACATTGATTCACTTCCTTTTCTCCATTGTCCTATATAATTCTGTCAGATTAACGTTACTAAAGATTTGGTCATTCACTTGCTAGGAAAGTACAAATAGTCATTAATATATGCTGTAATTTTTTTCCAGTTTATCATTATACGTTAATCTACATGATTTACCTAAAGGTACCAAACTCTCCTCCGAATGTTCATTTCCCAAATATGCTTGATATTCTTTCTTGGCTCATGTCATCCCCTTCATCTAGAATGGTTTACCTCCTGTAATTCCCTGTTAGAATCCTCCCCTGGCCTTCAAGTCCAGTTTAAATGCTGCTTCCTGCACAGGGCTTTCCTAGATTTGCCTAGCCTCTGTTGTCAGAACTTTGACATCCTGCATTGTATTGGGTTATTTTTATTTATATTCATCTTTGCATCTCCCATGAATGCCTGACGCCCTGGAGGCACTCATTAAGTGAGTTTTAAATGAGTGATTGTTGAAATTGGGATGAAGTGTTTTAGTAAAGAGAATTGATGGAATAAAAATGTTGACTCATCTTCATTGGATTTTTCTTGTCTTCTGATAAATTTTAATGTAGAAGAAAATATAACTTAGAAAACAGGCTTATTGCTGTTAATTGTCTAAAAGAATGAAATCAGCATAGTTAGAACTTAAGGCTCCTCTTGTTGGCAGCTTTGTGCCTTTAGAATCAAAAAGCTTCTTAATCCAAGGATTATCTGAGGTCTTACTCATAAAACATGTAAGTCTGGCAGCAGTTTAAAAATGAGCTGTTTTTACAAGGTTGCACATCGTCTTTCTCCACACCCTTTCCTGAAGCTAAATTCTTAAGAGGTGAGACTTAGAAAAGTTTGGTCATGTAGTAAAATCAAAGGTAAAGAAAGACTGATGTGCCTTCACTCAAGTAAATGCAGAGAGGAAGGTTCAGCATTTTCCTTACGGTTTAACACTCCGCTTTCATTGACTTGCTGCTGGCACTGTAGTTGTTGCCTTTCCCCAGGAATGTGTTGCAGTGACACCTGAGAGGACTTCCTCACCGTTTTCACAGTACCTTTTTATGACTTCTCCTCCCCACTCCAAAGCATTACAAAGACCTAATTTTTTTTCACTTTCAAAATGTAATCATTGGTAATTACCTTTTGAGTACGATCTTGTTATATTGGTTCAAGTACCACATTTTTAGGAACAGAAAAATGTCCTTTGTTATAGAGAAAATTTAGGAAAGTATAGTACAACATAACTTTAATAGAACATCTCTACTTCGCTGATGATATGGAGTGTATCTATTATCAGCTTCCAGGTGGACTATCATAAATAAGCCTTAAAGGACAGGAAATAAAGACAAAAATTTA